TCATTTACACTGAAACTTGAATGCTACCTTTTATTGTAGTCAGCAAAGGACTTGTCAGCAGATCAGATTAAGGCTGTCTTTTCTGAAGATCACACAGAAGCAAAGGAGGAGACCTATGATATATACCTTCTACCACCTGGTGAAGATCCAGAATCTTGCCAATCATATCTGAGGATGCGGGATAAAGATGGGAAATATAGTCTAATGTTTGAGGTTTGCCTTTCAAAGCTTAGTTTCTGCATTTTTGTGTGAGAACAGATTGTAAAGGACTTGCTGGGGTTAAAATTAAATTTAGCTGCAATGTCAAAAGAGGCCCAAGCACTTGTGACTAAGTAAATTGTATTTGCATGATCTTGCATAATCACAGAGTGTACTGCATATTTCAGGAATGGGTGACAGATAATCCATTTGTTATATCACCAAGAATAACTTTTGAGGTCAGCGTGCGACTTCTTGGTGGACTAATGGCCTTGGGGTACACGATTGCAACTATCCTTAAAAGAAGCAGCCATGTATTCTCCAATGATGGGGTGTGTGTAAAAATTGATTGGCTAGAGCAACTAAATCGTCGATATATTCAGGTACTGATAAGCTTTTTTCATTCTTCTCTGCATAGTCTAGATACACTGACGATTGAAAAGTTCTAAATTGCACAAATATGTAATGTGTGTTTATGTGGCTTTAGTTTTTGTATAAAGTTGAGAACGATTTTAATCATAAATTTATAGTGTAACACTTGAAATGCTCTGTCATTTTTTAAGGAAGCCAACATGACCATCAATACTAATTATGTCTGGGGAAACAAAATAAGGAAAAGATAGAAAGTATATTTGTTTATCAACCTTTACCCTAATTCAGTGTATCTCTCTCTTGTTTTATTTATTCTCTCTGAACCTTTCTGTTATTCTCTATCTTCTCTTTCTCAATCTCTCTTCCGTTTTTCTCTCACATCTTTTCAATGTTCATCATCTATTTTTCTCTGTTGAATTCTTTTTCTTCTTTTTCTGTCTAGCTCTCTTTCATTATTTTTCTTTTCCTGCATTATTATGCTACATTGTATACCCATTGGGGATACAGACAACTCTGTAGACAATTGAGATTCCTATCTGACTGTGTTGTTTAAGTGGCAACCTTTCTACATATCTGACTGCATTGATTCAATGGAAGCCTGCCTTATGGTTCATCTTTTTCTAACTCTCACCTCTATGTCATTTTGTAACTAGTATTGACGTAACTCTTGTGCATATTGACAAAAAAGGTGCAAGGAAAAGATCGTGTACTTGTAAGATGTGTTGCGGAGCAGCTTGGCTTGGAAGGTTCATACATTCCTCGTACCTATATTGAACAAATTCAACTGGAAAAGCTTGTAAATGAGGTCATGGTATGATAACTACATCTTATCCTCTTTGTACGCTGAGTACCAGGCTATGATAAAGCTCCAACACATATGATGCCTTATCTTGCATCTGTTTTCCTGATCTGATCCTCTTGCAGGCCTTGCCAGATGATTTGAAGACGAGGCTTAGCCTAGATGAGGATCTTGTTTCAAGCCCCAAAGAAGCACTTTCCAGAGCCTCCGCAGATAGAGTTGCCATGAGAAATAAGCATCTCAAGAGGTTTAATTTTTTGTAATCCATCTTTAGTTTAATATCTTTGTGAAATTGTTTAGATGTTGGCAATGCATTTTAACGATGGTATAGAAAACCTATCTGCTGGCTCCTTCATTTGAGATCTCTGATATAGTAATGCGTTTATCTCAACTGTAAACAAATAATTTTTGTGAGCACTAGCACAACCTCTTCGTTTGTGTTTCTTTTCACTTTTCTTCAAAGGTTCATCTAGAACCTAGCTCCCTTAAGCTGATTGACCTGATTTTATTCTGGACAGTGGTATGTCGCAGTCATATACAACCCAAAGGGACAAAAGTACATCTAAGCTTACAGGATATGCTTCCAACAGTCAAAGGTTTGATGAGAGAAATTCAGAGTCATCAGCAACACTAGCAAGCCAGGTAGAGTCAGTTATAATGGTCCTTGTGTGCTTTTGGCAGTTGGTTCCCCAGCAAGTTAATATATTCACTTAACATTCTTTTTTTTATAAAAAAAATCCTCATTTCTATTGTGGCAGGGAGTAGTTACTCAGCTATCAGAACAAATGTCTTCGCTGAATGATAGAATGGATGAGTTTACAAATCGAGTTGAAGAGCTAAATTCCAAGTTGGCTGTGAAGAAAAGTTCTCCTAGCCAACAAAACATGGCTCTTCAAGCTGAAACCTGCAATGGCTCTGTTCCCACTTCTTATTTCATCTCTGGCTTAGGCAATGGTTCTTTAACCGGGTCGATATTGCCAAATTCCTCATCTTCCTCGCAGCTGGCTAAGGAATCTTCAGTAATGGAAGAGGTAATGTCGTACTCATTTTACCTTGTGCCAAAACTCACTTGTTTTGTGAGCTAGAAGAGTAAAAGAAACCATATGAATGATCATAAAATCTTGCCCAAAATTCAATTCTTGCGTCTTGACTGGTTAATTTATCTTTTTTTCTTCCTTGGCATTCTATCAGATGTCAAGTATTTCACGGGGGCAACGTCAAATCATGCATCAGTTAGACAATCTCAGCAATCTTCTCCGGGAAAACATGGGAGAGAGAAATCGCCCAGTAAGAACTAACAGCAGGAAAAGCACCATTGCTCAACCTGATCAGCCCTTGACAGTTCCTCTTGCAATAACGCTGGCTGTTGGAGTTCTAGGACTCATCATATACAAGGGTATCTTTACTCGAAATTGATGTAGTTTTGAAAATCATTAGACTGATAAACCTTTACTTTGTTCCTCTTAGGTTCCACTATAAGTGTATTGCAAGTACTACCCTTCTGCTCGGGAAAGATAGTTAACAGAAAGAGGTTACGCTAGAAGCAAAATAGAAGTTTTCTAGCTTGAGAGTTTGCAAAGAAGGGTGCCCTAGCAATTTTGAAATTTTGTGGCCTACTTATAAATTTACTTTGCTAGTTTCAACATATCCAATGTAGAGATTGAAGAATGGGAGAAATTTCACAATAAATCAATCTTAGAGTTCAATTTTTCTTTTTCTCGCAGGAATGTTTGCCTTTGATCTATCGCTTTCTCGAGTGCTACTAAATTTTGTTACTGCGCATTATTTGTCGTAGAGAATTGCATCCTGAGTTGGAGTGGTTTGCTTCAGTTTTCAAACTAGGCTCTACGTGAAGAGTACTACCATCTCTTACTATACCCCTAACTTTTTGTTTGACATTGTTGTTTTGGTTGGCAAAGAGATTGCAAAAATCACCATCTTGCATTTTTCTTACAAGAACTAAGAAATATTCTTAACTTCTCCCATTCTTTATATAGATAATAACCCTTGAAAGTAAAAAATCAGTAGGGGCCAATAGAGACTTGAGTAATGGCCTAATAATAATAAGTAATGCTCAAAACTACTCTTATCGATGAGGAAGGATAATCGGGTAAAATGGACATACTTTCCTAACCAATTGGCATGCTTAACATATTTCAACTCCAACATTCATTGTGCTAGGCGTATAAAGTGCAACTTACGACCCAATCTTTTTCTCAGCTGGTGAGTTCTAAAACCCAAGCTAAATTTCTTTTAGCTAGAAGTAAAAGATTAAAAAAATAAAATCCAAGCCAAACGTCAACTGCGACTGCGCTCTCATTAGAGCACTTCCACCCATTTGCCATGGCAAAGGGCAAGGGGAGACAAGGGTTGTTATTATCTATTCACGTGAATAGTGGTAGCCCTTTCAAAAAGCAAGGTGTGTTTCCACCCATTATCATAGCAAAGGGCAAATACTATTCACTTTTAGTTTTTGTTTTAGTTTTAGTTTTTTTTTGTTTTTTTATACCTAAGCAATTAATTTGGAGAATATTTTTGGCTGTCACGTGTCATTTTTTATTATATAAAATTCTCATCTCATATTTCGGATAAATTTTCGGATAGGATTTTCCGATAAAATTTTCATATTAAATTTTCGAATAAGATTTTCGGTTGCCATGTGTCTATATTTATTATAAAATTCACATATCAAATTTTCGGATAAAAATTTTGTATAAGATTTTCGGTTGCCGCATGTCCATATTTATTATAAAATTCACATCTCACTCATCATACAATTAAATACCTACTCATTCATCATACAATTGAAATACTCATGGTTCTCATAGTTTGACACAATCGAGTACAAGGAAGACTCGATAATTGGCCGAGGCGGTTCCACCGGATCACGAAGTGGGGGAGTATTTCCCTTCGGAGGACATAATAGTGCCATTATTTCTGACACAACGCACTAAGGGAACCGACTGCGGGCATTGTTCACTTGAGAAGCCATGTGTAATGGTTTTCCTTTTTTTATTTTTTTGCCTTGAATAATCTATTAAAAAAATTAAATTGGAAATGCAAGAAAATATAAAAAAGAATGACATTAAATTGAATAAAACAACAATTAATTTTTTACCTCGTAGCCAAGATTTTGACCTCTTCAATCGTTTGTCCACGACCCTTCAGTTTCGATGGAAGATGCCATAAGATGGTGAATAAAAATGAAAATTGAAAGTGAAGAAATTTTTGTGTAGAAAGTGAAAAATAATAGAAGGAGATGAAAATGTATGAGGATTTGATGTTGAAAGTGAACATTGGTAGGTATTTATAGAAAAAAAAAAATTACATAATTTTTTTGGTAATTTTTTTTCCATATTTTTGAAGCCAAAAAAAAGGACAGCCATTGGATTTGATTAAAAAAACGATCGGAGCGACCAGAACGTGCCACATGGCGTGTTACCGTTGGCGGAAAGCAGGGTTGACCCCAGCGCATGTAATTTCAATTTTCTTTTTATCGCAATGCACACGCCAACGTGAAAAAAATTTGAAATCCAAGTTCTAACGTCAGCAGCCCTCGGGCTGGCCCAGTCATGTGGGACCCGTAGCTTGGCCCGCTGGAAGCGCTCGCCTGGGCTCGGGCCTTGTCCTGACCTGGCTGGAGGCATCGGATGGAATCGGTCTTACAAACTAGCCTTGCCGTTGATTTCTCTTTACGCAGAAGAGAAAATACTCGGGAATGTAAAATGAGCCGCGCTCTAAATTCCCTGTTCTCAGTGTGCCCATGATGGAGTCCAAACCGCCACACCGAACCTCGGGAAGCTTCTGCTTTACCTCTTGACGCAGAGAAATAGTAAAGAATTGAAATTTCAGAAAAAGATAACGGAGCTCTCTCCTTCATGATTCTCTGGCTCTGGGTAGGTATCTAACATTTCTCTTTTTCCTGAATATTTATTTATCTTTTGCTGTATAGTGGTATTTGTTCCTTGTGAATTTCTTTAATTTCGTAAGTCCAAAGATCTGATGCCTGATTAATTGGGTTTGTTCGGCTACTCTGGAATTTTAAAGAATTTTGATTGATGTGCATGGTTTGTTGAAAGGAGAAATATATATATCAGTAAAACCCCTCTGCTCTAAGAAAGCCATAGAAAGCGAAAGGATTAAAGAAAAAAAAAAAAAAAGGTTTTGCATTTTATGTTTGTTGTCGTTTTTCTATATGAATACTGATGAAATTCACTATAAATTAAAATTAAGAGTACAAGCTTTACATAGGAGTCAGCTGAATTTTGTTTTTTCTCAGATCCTAATGATGTAAAATCTGTAATTTGGGAATTCAAATATTCGTTTCTTTTCCTCTTTGTTCTTCATAAGCAAATAGAACATATGCAGAAAAATCTTGGGTATTGCTCAATTTTTGATCTTTCTGTAACTTTTTGTAGTTTGATGAATGTTCACTAGAGTTCTTCAACTGCCAATTGGTTTTGTTGCATTGATTTGCAGTTGATTTAGTTTGAATGTACGAATGGGTGATCTATTGGATCGTGATTTGATAAGCAATCTACCTCAGAGCATTATAGAGAGCATTCTCACGCGTCTCCCAATTAGAGATGCTATAAGAACTAGCTGCTTATCAACGAAATGGAGATACAAATGGGCTACACTCACCCATCTTGCATTCGACGAAAAATGTGTCACTCTATCTAATGACCGAACTCTTGTCGAAAGAACCCTTATAGACTTTATCACTCGGGCTCTCTTTCTTCACCAAGGACCCGTTCACAAGTTCCAGCTTTCTACTTCCTACTTGCAGAGCTGCCCAGATATCGATCAATGGATACTTTTCCTTTCAAGGAATGACATAAAAGAATTGGTTCTTGAATTGGGAGAAGGAGAGTGGTTTAGAGTGCCCTCATGCCTTTTTTATTGTAAAAAGTTGACCCGTTTGGAGCTATTTCGATGTGAGTTGGATCCACCTCCTGCTTTTAAGGGATTTTTGTGTTTGAAGAGCCTCAATCTTCATCAAGTTTTGGTTGCTCCTGATGCAATTGAAAGTCTTATTTCTAGTTGCCCTCTACTTGAGAGTCTGGCTTTGTCATACTTCGATAGCTTAGCTCTAAATATTCGTGCCCCAAATCTCAAGTACTTATGTCTTGAAGGTGAATTTAAGGACATATGTCTTGAAAATACCCCACTTTTGGTTGCCATATCTGTTGCTATGTATATGACTGATGATATTGCCGAGCACTTTGAGCAAAGTTCAAATTGCAATTTTATCAAGTTTCTTGGTGGCATACCACGTCTTGAGAGGCTTGTTGGGCATATCTACTTTACAAAGGTAACATTTTTATGTGATTTTGTTTGTTAATTATCCCTCTCTTTCAATCTTCAATGTAGTAATCTACAAGTGCATTTATGTTTCTAACAGCGATTCTGTTTTCATATGTTTTTGTTTATTTTTTTGTTTCAAGTATTTGAGTATAGGTAATGACCAGGGAATCCTTCCGATTACTTATAACCATTTAAAGATTATTGAATTATATCAAGTAAGTTTTGAAGATATGAAAGAGATACTAGTTGTTCTTCGCTTGATTACGAACTCTCCTAATTTACAGGAACTTCAAATCTCGGTAAGTTACTGGGAACATGTTGAAGTATTACCCTCTTCTTCTTTTTTTCGTTCTTTTGTTTTACTCATGGACATTTTAGTTTTTAGTTTTACATTTCTGTTAATTAGTAAGGGTTACTGCCAACATAGGGATCCTCAAACACTTTAGCAGCTATAGAAGCATCCGATTTGGATTTCTGGGAGAAACAATGCCCTTCCGATTGCGCATTCGGAAGACTTAAAGTTGTGAAGATGACAGATATGTCTGGAGTGCCACATGAGATGGAATTCATCAAGTTTTTGTTGAAGAAATCACTAGTGCTTGAGACCATGAGGATTACGCCGTGTGCATATGTTTTAGATGGACGTTTGAATATGCTGATTGAGTTGGTGAGCTTTAAACGGGCATCTCCTGAAGCAGAAATTTTATTCATCCAAGATTAACTAGTGTCTGTCTGGTATGTTTAACGGAGCTGGCCTTTGAATTGTGTTTTGTATTTTTCTTGAGACTTGAGAATGACAATTTGTTAATATTGTTCAAGGTCTCATTCACTCATATTATAAACAAAACAAAGAAAAGATCAGTTCGCATTTAATAACTGGCTGCATATTATAATGACTAAAGATATTAAATATGAGTTGAAAATTCAGTTTTTTATTGTTCTTTTGTTATTTGTTTCAATGGGAGAAACAGAGACGTCCATTTCGTTTGTTTGCATGGAGTACGCAGCGATTTAAGTTTGTTCTTCCCAAAACAAAAATTGAAATGATGTTGGTCGTTTAGTGAGACTAAAATATAAGGAAAAAGAAAAATACTGAGAATCCTAGATAAATAAATAAAACTCCTGTGTTAAAAAAACAATAAAACAGGTAAAATCACCATCCTGTTGTATATACGGGAACACAACCAATTTCAGGACTCAAAATTCCATTGAAATCAAGAAAACAAACAAAATTCTGTCCTAGTACATTATTGTTACAATCTCAAGAACCCAAGTTGGATGTTCTGAGGAAAACTAATCACTCAAGATCAATCGGAAAGGGAATGTGACACTCAATCTACACGTCAGTTTCTCATATCAGATTCTGTACAGTCGAAGTTTTAACACAACTCTTTGGAGCTTCAATTTGATGCTTATGATAATATACAACAAACTCAATCGATTCTGACTCATAATCATGGTATCAACTTCCATTCCATTATGGATATCATTTTTCTCTGCTTTATTGTGAGAGTAAGTATTATCTTGGTCCAGAGAGCTCCATTGCTTGTGCAAGCAATGAAGAGTCGTCAGTAAGATCAGAGTAGCGCTCGGACGAGGAAAATTCATTGGCTCTGCACCTATTTGATTCAGCTCTCTGAGAAGCTTCCCATTTCTCTGCAAGTCCATCTCCTTCAAGCATTCGAACGACTTCGGACATCTTGGGTCTTTGACTGGGAAGATTTTGAGTACATAAGAGAGCTACTTGAATCATTTCTTCGAGCTCAATTGGATCATAGTCATTCTTCAGTTCCTTGTCAACTAGCACATCAAACTTCTTTTCATGTTGGATTTTCTTTACCTGCAGTAAAAAGTCTTGAGTTAGCTACATCAACCGAAGCATAAACAGCCCTAGAATTTTATTTGGTAACAAATGCAAGGAAAACATCTCTGTCTGGCGCACCCAGTCAAGTATGGCTCCTTTCTGGTTTGCTGCTTTCCCAAACTCTAGAGCTCTTTGGCCTGATATTAATTCAAGTATAAGAATCCCAAACCCAAAAACATCAGTCTTCTCAGAGGACTGGCCAGTTGAGAGGTACTCTGGGGCTATGTGCCCCACAGTACCTCTCACGGCAGTTGTAATGTGTGAATCATGGTGATCCAACAGCTTTGCCAACCCAAAATCTCCCACCACAGCCTCACAGTAATCGTCAAGCAGAATATTTGCAGCCTTGACATCCCTGTGAATTATCTTGGGGTCACACTGCTCATGCAAGTATAATAATCCCCTTCCAGCTCCCAATGCAATCCTTTTCCTTGTACTCCAATCCAGGGCTGGCTTGGCTACAACAGAGGAAGTAAACTATGAATGTTTTATTGAAGTACCAATTTTTTGTGTTTAATCATAACTAAATACAAAGGAATTCTAACCAATAAGAGACTCAAATTAAAATTTTGCAAGTAGGTAAAACAGCATAACATCTTACCCTAGGTAATATGTTCTTAGAAAATTAACAAGTAAACAGAGTGCAGATCAAAGGCTCATTACCTTTGAGACGTGAAGCAACACTACCATTGGACATGTAGGGATAAACCAAAAGCCTCTCTTTGGCTGTCATGCAAAATCCATAAAGCCGGAGAAGGTTGCGATGCACTGCTAGGCTGATCATCTCAAGTTCTGTCTGAAATTGGATTTCACCGCCTATGGCATTAGCATCCTTGAGCCTTTTGACTGCTATTACTGTACCATCTCGGAGACATCCTTTGTAGACATTTCCGAAACCACCCTTGCCAACCAAGTTTTTGCTACTGAAGTTGTGTGTTGCAGCTTGAAGTTCTCTGAAGTGAAACGACCTCAGGTTTCCAAGGCAAACTTCTTCATGATGTTGTTCTGAAATTTCTAATTCAGTGTTAGAAAATACAGCTTGTTGAAAGTCTAATTAGTCTCTATTCGCATACACAAAAGTATACTAACCATTAACATCTAAGAATATCTGTTTGTTGTGTTTTTGCCTCCACCAAAGAAGGAAACCAAAACCAAGAATTAGAAGACAGATGCAGCCTAGGCTTGAGGCAAACGCTAAGGCAATTTTGTGGCTCCTAGGTCTCCCAGCAGGTTGAGCATCTTAAGACACAATAAGAAAAGCAAGTTAGGGAATTTGCAAGAAGTTGTTGAATCGTGAAGATAAATAATACTGAAGGAGAGCAAAACGAAAGTAGATTTTGAAATTCAAAATAGAACCAGAAGGTAACATAACCTTAAAGCCAGTGATGGCAAATAAATTATATAAAGCATAAGTGTTTCATTAGCTTAAAACCAAAGCCAAAAAGGATGATAATATTTCAAGAAGTAGAGAACTTCAAAGTTTGAAAAGTAAAAGAAACCGGCAATAAGCAGGAACTATATACTTTGTGAGTTATTCGAGGGAAAAGCTGGTGGCATCCTCGTTGTTTCAAAGCAGTCTTGCTCTATTCCAGCGACACATATCAGAGGATTTCCCACAGCACTGTGTCAATTCAGAAACTAAATAAATGAGTTTTAGTTATTCATCTTCTGTATTGAAGAGGGAAACAAAAAACTGGGAGGAGGAAAAGAAACATTGAAATGGCTCACTTGAATGTTTTAGCAGGAAACCTGGGTACTGGACCACTCAAATTATTAAAAGACATGTCCCTAAACCATCAAACAAAATCCACAGAAACTTAATTAATATCATATTTCAACAGGAAAAGAAAGTATAATTAATCTTGATGTGTGAAGTTTGGAGGGAATTATTACAGAAAGGCCAGCTGGGTCATGTTAGCAAAAGATGAAGGAATTGCACCGGAGAGACTGTTATTGTTTAGCCGCCTGCTTGCAACACAAATAACCATTATGACCATCCACTAAAATACACTTCCAAACTATTTAACTATATTTCTTTTCTCAGTGACTGATACTTTCAGTTTTGGAAACAAAATTTCTTAATTGAACTCACAGGTATTGTAGGCTTTTCAAGTGGGATAGAGTGCTGGGAATTTGACCATTGAACAAGTTGCTGGACAGATCAAGTGTTTGAAGCTTTTGGACCTTCCCAAGCTCTGTGGGGATTGATCCTGTTATATGGTTATCCTGAAATGTTCTGCAAAACACATTTTTCAGTCAAATATATATGATATTCAGATACAGATATATTGATTAAGTAATAATTGATTGCTCACACAAGCTGAAGATTTGTCAAGTTTCCTATGCTTGGTGACAAAGTGCCTGATAAATTCTGGCTTGGAGTTCCCCTGCACAAAAACCATTGCAAACTACATAAGATATTTATTTATTAATGCATGGTGCATTTTTCAATTTCTTAATTAGTGTTTTGCTGTTTTCCAGCACTACTTACAGGCCAATGACTAAACCATCAAGAGAACAAGTGACCATATTCCAGATGCAGGGGTCCACAGAAGTTTCATCCCAATTTTTAAGAACACCACGAGGATCCTTCAGAGCCTCTTTAATGCCCATTAAGGCTTGCACTAGAGAAGAAGAAAAACAAAAACAAAAATTGTCTGTGTCCTGGTTTTTCAATGGCTAAGCAAACATTATCAAAATCTGCAGAATTCAGTTACCTTCGGGGTTGACACCCTTTGGAGAAAGCAAACCAGTCACAGAAGTCGTCCACAAGCACAAAAGGGCCACAAAGCACAAAGCTTTACCTTCCTTCCTAATCTCCATTGAGTTGCAGGTCCAAAAAGAAGAGGTACCCAAAATATTATGATATGAGCTCCTTCTTTTTCAATGAAGAGAAGTAGTTTGAAACTTTGAAAGCTTCCACAGAAGCAATCTGCAACTGGGTTTATCCAATAAACTTCAAAGTTAAAACCTTTGTGTTGTAATGCGTATGATGATTTGCATCAGAGGCTAAAAACCAGTACAAAGCCTCGTGCTTTGCACTACCAGAATTGCACTCACTCACTCAAGGCTTACTGACAGACCCAAGAGCCAAGAGGCAGAGTTTTGGTTTGGTTGTAAAAAGACTTAAAAGAGAAAGAGCATGCCTGGCCTGCCAGTCACTGGTTCAGTTGAGAAAAGGAAAGGAGAGAATATATAAAAGCTAAAGATGAGCAAGCAACACTCACTGACCAAGTCTAGATAATTGCAAAAGAAAATTCCTTCAATCATGTATTGGGTTAAAGAAAAGGAACCTGCATTTTTAATTATTTTATTATTCTCCTGATTATAAAATGCAAAGCAAGTGAAGTATTACCTGTTAAGCACTGTAAAGGTTATAATTAAGGCACCTTAATCAAAAAATGACGCTATGGTCAGCTTTAGCTTTTGCTGTCAGTAAGAGAGAGAAAGAGAGGGAGAGAGAGGGAAAATCCGCACAGTATTTGGCTCTGATATGCTAAGCTTCCATAGTGGCTCCCTGAGAATCAAACATTCCACTAAGTTGGCCATTTATATTGATTCTCAAATTCGGTCTTATATTTTTCTAATAATTATTAAATAAAGTTGAATATATAGGCTCAAGGTCACATTTTCAATCGATTCTGTTTCGTTTTAACTTGACCAAACAAAAAGACTATCATCATCGAATCAAAAAAATTCCATTTTAATAAATGTTCTTAATAAACGATCATATTTTGTATTCAGCAGGAACAAATCCAATGGTTTGTGTCGTGGGAAAATGGGAACCCATCAATTCAACTGAACAGTCATAAAATTTACCTAGAGCAAGTTCTGAAATTGGTTTACTTGTTCAAAAGTAAGATTTTCTCAAAAGAAGAAGAAAACAAGAAAATCTCACTCACAAAAAAACTGTTTGTGCTAAAGATAAGATGAAGAGATCGGTTGAAGCTTACAACATTAC